ACTATGGCCTAGGTTAATAGGGAGAACCTTGTCGCTGTGAGCTTTAGGTCCGGTCCAGTGTGGAAAGAGAATAAGTGGGACGTCAGATGGTAGGAATAGTATAATGCGAATAGGCAGGTGTGATGGCTGGAGCAAGCAGTTTTATTCGTCTGACGTTTCGAAATCCGTCGCAGATCCACCACCAGAAACAATAGCAGAAGTAGGGGGGAGTAGTTTATTTGACACAGAATTCAGACGGAACACGCGTACACAAGCCAGAAGACCGAAGACCTGGACGTTAGCACACGTGTTAAATATTGAAATATTTATACTCCGTCCTGAGCCAATCAGATGTCGCCGTACTGACAGTAGCGAAGCCGGTAATTTGTCATGCGCGCGCGCGCAAGCTTTCAGGAGGGTGAAGGCGTGCGAGTCTGATGCTGCCAGGAAGCTAGATGCTAAGCCTGGCAGATTATGCGTGTTAACTGTTAGAACCGGGTGCAACAGCCATATTTTGTGATGCAACTGATTTGCTTCCCTTTAGAAAATGCCGAAGACATAACGCGAAACCTCAGGATGACTAATTTCAAACTGCTGCACCAAAAAATATAATTTTACAAAGATGCAATTACGGATTTCAGCCACCGTTACCTATTTAACGGGCTGAAACGCTTAAGCTTGTCGACGAACAATTTTTTTTCGCGAGGAGTGAACGAAGTTAGGAAGTTATAGTGACTGTGCATTCATGCGGAAACTCGAGTGACGTTTTTAAACTAAATGAGGCAACTGAAGTAATTATGACGACACAGGAGAGTTTTGACAATTTTCTAGTTATGTTCACAAAATTTGAACATACACTCAGGATTCTTGTATTACAATAAAATCCAGTAGCGGATCTTGAAGGTGTAGAGGGCGCAAAATCATTAGTTGGATGTCATTAAATTATTGTTGCATGAAATATCTTATACAGTAAAACTTACCAACTACTGATTAAAAAATTTGAATTGTCCTTCAAAAGTGCCTGATTAGGTTAAACTAAAGTCCACAGTAACTTAGCAAATCCGAAATTTTGATCACCGGTTGAGATTCAGACGAAAAATTTGTGATTCCCTATTTCGTTTTTTTTCACAGATTTTGATGTCTGTAGAAATTCGCTGTATCGTTTGTACGTGAGGTAGAACGGATTATCTTCTAGCCATGAATGGAACTCTGGATTTGTATTAGAGGAGGCCCATAACTCGTAATTATTAAAATCAAAAGATTAATGTCACCACAGGTTGTAGTTAAAAATAAGCGGAATTCAATAGAGAAATTACGAACTGAGGTACGTCCTTCCATCAAGAACTGCATTTCACTAAAATGCGCTATCCTGTCATAGAAAAAAATGCCAGCACAGCACTTATGAGCATTATTGTTTAATTAATGCAAGTCAATGTTATTATTTTACCGACAACACAGACCAACATCACGAAGCTTTTCGG